CCATTTTAGTTTGCTGATTACTAAGATGTTGATGTTCAGTCTTGTTTGCCTAGCTTGCCTTGATTCATGGATCTTACATTCCAGGTTCCTGTGGAGTATAGATCTTTACAGCATTGTACTTTCCTTTCACCACCAGATACATCCACAACTGAGTGTCCTTTCGGCTTTTGCTCAGTCGCTTCACTCTGGCGCTACTAGTAATGAAACTCTGCTCTTCCCCAGTAGCATATTGGACACCTGACCTGAGGAACTCATCTTCCAGCATCATATCTTTTTGCCTTTTGGTACTGTCCATAAGGTTTTCATGGCAATGATACTGGAGTGGGTTGCCATTTCCTTCTCCAGTGGATCACATTTTGTCAGAGTTCTCTGCTATAACCTGTCCGTCTTGGGTGGCCCTGCACAGAATAGCTCAAAGTTTCATTGAGTTATGCAAGCCCCTTCTCCACGACAAGGCAGTAATCGATGAAGGGTCTTAGTGGTATATATGGCAGTAAATCCACAATGCCTGAGGGGAAGGAAGTTCTGGCAAAATTAAAGATTGGCGAGGCCAGTTGGATATGAAATTCTAGGTGCTAGGCAGGAAGCAGCCTTTCTTTATTCTTTATTTATGAGCTGCTGTGGCGCAGTGGTTAAAATTCAGTCCTGCAGGCTACTTCTGCTGACTGCAATTTCGCAGTTCAAATCTCACCAGGCTCAAGGTTGACTCAGCCTTCCGTTCTTCCGAGGTCGGTGAAATGAGGAGCCAGATTGTTGGGGGCAATATGCTGACTCTAAACTGCTTAGAGAAGACTGTAAAGCACTCTGAAGCGGTATATAAGTCTAAATGCTATCGCTATTCATCCCATAAAAAATCACCCTGAGATCCCTCCAAATTTTGTTTTAGTCTAAATGTTTTGTTTTACTGAAATGGAACTGCTTTGAAGCTGTTCATAAAAATTTGAAACAAATTAGATACTTTGGATCTTACACACCCCTATTCTGATCTTAAGCATTGCAGTCTTGTCAGTTTCACTTTCAGTAATTTAATGTCCATCCAGCAATTCATTATCCAGATATTAATCTTTCTCACTCCACTCACTCTAATTTTACCTTTTTGCTTCTTCATGAACTTCTAAGTGTACTTACAGATTCTATTTAAATCTTTCCCAATCTCTCCTGATCTTATTCTCCTTTCTTTGCATTTATTTATAGAGTATACAGGTAGTCCTCGACTTGCAACAATTCATTTAGTGACCATTTAAAATTACAACAGCATTGAAAAAGGGAACATGATCATTTTTCACATTTGCAGCCTTTCTAGCACGCCCATGGTCATGATCAAAATTCAAATGGTTGGCAACTGGTTCATACTTGTCACTGATGTTGTGTCCCAAGGTCATGTGATCACCTTTTGACAAAGCAAAACCAATGAGGAAGCCAGATTCACTTAGAAACCATGTTACTAACTTATCAACTGCAGTGATTCACTTAATAACTGTGGCAAGAAAGGTCATAAAATAGAGCAGAACTCGTTTAACAAATGTCTCACTTAAGAACATACCGTATTTTTCGGAATATAAGACACACNGGTCCCTGCCATTTTGGTCCTTTACCATGCCCATCTTTGCATGAAACATTCTCTCCATATCTCCAATTTTCTTGAAGAGATCTCTGGTCTTCCCTATTCCATAGTTTTCTTCTATTTCTTTGCACTGTTCATTTAAGAAGACATTCTTATCTCTTCTAGCTATTCTCTGGAATTCTGCATTCAATTGTGTCTTTCTCACGCCTTTCACTTCCCCTCGTTCCTCAGCTATTTGCAAAGCTTCCTCAGACAACCATTTTGCTTTCTTGCATTTCTTTTTCTTTGGGATGGCTTTAGTTGCTACCTCTTGTACATTGTTGTGAACCTCCGTCCATACTTCTTCAGGTACTCTGTCTATCAAACCTAATTCCGTAAATCTATTTGTCACGTCTACTGTATATTCATCAGGGATATGATTTTGTTCATATCTGAGTGGCCTAGTGATTTTCCCTATTTTCTTCCATTAAGCCTAAATTTTGCAACGAGAAGCTCATGCTCTGAGCCACAGTCAGTTCCTGGTCTTGTTTTTACTGACTGTATAGAGTTTATCCATCTTTGGCTGCAGAGCACATAGTCAATCTGATTTCTATGTTGACTGTTTGATGATGTCCATGTGTAGGGTTGTCTCTTGGGTTGTTGGAAAAGAGTGTTTGCTATGACCATCGTATTCTCTTGACAAAATTCTATCCGCCTGTGTCCTCTTCATTTTGTACTCCAAGGCCAAACTTGCCTGTTATTCTGGTTCTCTTTTGGCTTCCCTCTTTAGCATCCCAATCCCTCATGATATGGACATCATTTTTTGGTGTTAATTCTATAAGGTGCTGTAGAGCTTCATAGAACTGGTCAATTTCATTCTCTTCAGCACTAGTGGTTGGGGCATAGACTTGGACTACTGCGATGTTGAATGGTTTGCCTTGGATTCGAACTGAGATCATTCTATCATTTTGTGGATTGTATCCCAGTATTACTTTTCCTACTCTTTTATTGACTATGAAGGCTACTCCATTTCTTTTGAGGGATTCTTGCCCGCAGTAGTGTACCTGGTGGTCATCTGAATTAAATTAACTCATTCCTGTCCATTTTAGTTTGCTGATTACTAAGATGTTGATGTTCAGTCTTGTTTGCCNGGATAGAATCAAGATCACGTGAAGTGTTAATACCACTTTATAATGCCTTGGTAGGGCCACACTTGGAATATTGCATTCAGTTTTGATTGCCATGATGTAAAAAAGAGACTCTAGAAAGAGTGCAGAGAAGAGCAACAAAGATGATTAGGGGCTGGAGGCTAAAACATGAAGAACAGTTGCAGGAACTGAGTAAGTCTAGTTTAATGAAAAGAAGGACTAGGGGAGACATGATAACAGTGTTCCAATATCTCAGGGGATGCCATAAAGAAGAAGGAATCAAGCTATTATCCAAAGCACGAGGATAGAACAAGAAGCAATAGGTGGAAACTAATCAAGGAGAGAAGCAACTTAGAACTGAGGAGAAATTTCCTGACAGGTAGAACAATTAATCACTGAAACAACTTGCCTTCAGAAGTTGTGAATGTTCCAACATTAGAAGTTTTTAAGATGCTGAATAACCATTTTTCTGAAGTGGTGTAGGGTTTCCTGCCTAAGCAGGGGTTGGACTAGAAGACCCCCAAGGTCCCTTCCAACTCTGTTATTGTATTCTAAAATTATACTACGCCTAGTCATTGTGAAATCTGGAATTGCCAGTTGAATATGCTTTTCTAAGAAGAAGAAGTTGATGAATATTATTAGTATTCCTTTTTCCAAATTGTGGTTCCCATCACCAAGAGTTTTATATGCATTGCTTCACTCATCTAAAATAAAACAAAGAGAAATATGTATATATTTTAATTGTATCCAATACATTCATGTTCTGCTTAGGAATGGATCCAGCAAAACAACATTTTATCAATTGTGTTGAGAGATAGTCTACATCAGCCTCAGTATGTAGAAAAGTTAGAGAAAATTCTTCGTTTTGTCATCAAAGAAAAGGCCTTAACCTTGCAAGATCTTGACAACATTTGGGCTGCCCAGGTAATTATCTATTATCTCTAGAAATAGAGACAATCTCTATTTTGTGTGGCTGTGTTTTGTCTGTCTGTTGTACTGCAATATTAAACATTTAATTCTTTCGTCTCTGAAATATTTTCCTATCCCTTTACAAGGGAGGAAAAATTTTTTTTTAAAGTTTCAAATAAACTGCAAGTATTTTTACTTGTAGCTCTAGTTTAAATTGTTCAGTACAGATAGTCCTCAATTTACAACCATTTCTATAGGAGGGCAGGCTGTGTAAAGATCAGGGACAGAAGAGGCTGTAGAAGATGCTGTGCTTAGGTTATATTTCTTATTGTTGGGACAATTACAGTAGGGAACTGGTACATAGTGGTATGTTGTTGTTAGTTTCGAAGTCATGTCTGACCCATTGCAACTGCATGGACAAAGTTCCTCCCGGTCTTCCTGTCCTCTGGAGCCCATTTAACCTGACGCCTGTTGCTTCGGTGACTCCAGCCAGCCACCTTAATTCTCTGTCATTCCCTTTTTTTCTTCTTCAATTTTTCCCAGCATTAGGCTCTTTTCCAGTGAGTCCTTCCTTCTCATTAGGTGAATTAAGTTTTTGAGTTTCAACTTCAGGATCTGGCCTTCTAAGGAGCAGTCAGGGTTGATACCCTCTAGGACTGACTGGTTTGATCGTCTTGCAGTCCAAGGAACTTGCAGGAGTCTTCTCCAGCACCATAGTTCAAAGGCCTCNTTAGGCTCAATTGTGGTCATAAGTCAAGGACTACCTATATCTGTTCTAATAGTCTTCACCCATTCAGCTTTATCATTCTTGACCAAAGGTCTCATGAAGCTTGATGCGGTTCTCACATTTGGTCCTGAACAGCTTCCAAAATACTTTGTAGAGAAAATTCAAGCATCTCCCTGATGTTAAGTAATGAAGCAATATTAGTTTTCTATCATCACATTTCATGCTCTAGTTTTCTCCAAGAAGTTAGGTGTAGCTTGAAATTCTTCAAAGGCTGCTTGTTGCTGTTTTGTTCAAGCTGAGATATATCTATATATAGTAGAAGGAACCATGCATTATTAAGCATTCTCATGTTTCCCTGCCTCCCCCTTTCATTTATTTTGTAGCTTCTTGGCAATAGCTTTGTAAAGCAGCAGGTACATCATAAATTACCATACCAATCTTTGACTTTCAATGTTTACCTTAAAATGGTACTTTGTGATAATAATGTTGCAATATGTTGTACGTTTTTCTATAAATAACATAAAAACAACATTAATAATATTGCTCTTCAAGGCAGGAAAACATGAAGCCATTGTGAAAAATGTGCATGATCTTCTTGCAAAATTGGCCTGGGATTTCTCTCCTGAACAACTTGACCATTTGTTTGATTGCTTTAAGGTAATTAGTCTATTAATTTGCTATTCATTGAACTCCTTTAAGTAGGACATAATCAAATTTCAATTTATGTTAATTTTAATAGGTGATACCTAGCTCAATAGTAGTAACTGTGAGAGGGTTCTTGGAGTCCTAGTGGACATTTATTTAAATATGAGCCAGCAGTGTTCTGCAACTGCCAAAAAAAAAACATTTAACATAGGGATAGAATCAAGATCACGTAAAGTGTTAGTCCACGTTATAATGCCTTGGTAAGACCACACTTGGAATACTGCATTCAGTTTTGGTCACCATGATATAAAATGATGTTGAGACTCTAGAAAGAACAGGGAACTGAAGGCTAACGTATATAGAGAAAGTTTGCTGCAGTTGGGTATGATAAGTTTAATGAAAAGAAGTACTAGGGGTTGTTACCTAGCAATGTTCCAATATCTGAGGGGTTGACACAAAGAAGAGGGGATTGACCTATTCTCCAAAGCACCTGAAGCCACAACAAGAAGCAGTGGATGAAGGAAGATTAGTCAAGAAAGAATCAACCTACAACTAAGGAGAAATTTCCTTAAAGTTAGAACAATTAATAGGTGGAATACCTTACCTCCAGAAGTTGTGGGTGCTCCAATACTAGAGGTTTTTAAGAGATTGGATAACCATTGTCTGAAATGATATAGGGTTTCCTGCCTGAACAGGAGGTTGGACTAAAAGACCTCCAAGGTCCCTTCCAACTCTGTTATTTTGTTAAGTTTAAGGAAATTTCTCCT